TGCACATTTCCGCTACAACATACAGAGGCAATTCTATTTACTACCGGTTGCACAATAGTCCCTAGTTTGGGTGTTATTTTGAACATTGTTTCACATGTGTAATATGGCAGCGTTTAAATGCTCTTGACAATTATATTACAAAAGGACTGCAAGTTTCTAAAAAAACCTCCGAATTAACTCAAAGACTTTTAATTTTGGAACAACAGTATGTCTCCGCACGAAGCAAGTATTTTCATTTTCATTTGTGACCATACAATAGCTAACTTGGGAATCATCAATGGTAAGAAAAAGGACGGACATACACGGCAATTTTTGGATTCTGTTTCGCAGCCAGAAGGATCGGCTCCACAAGCAAATGAACTGCCCAGCAAGGAAAACAGCATAATGAAATAAGAATGAGGGCTGAAAAAGAAACGAAATGAAAACTCTATGTAAGTAATAACGAAAATTGACTGGCTTTTACAAATACCGAACAAGCAGTGAGGAAATTAAAAAAAATTGATGGTATCCACTTTTTTTTCGGCCACTGTGCTGTGGTAATATTGAAATAATAAAATATAATGTATGTGGTGTTGATGGTGCCACAAGTTGTATTGTTAAAGGTAGGCACGACAGACGATATGTTTTCAAGTAAATCTGCTCTCCGTGTTTTATGACCGACATGAGAATTCAGCTATCGAAGCGAAATCTTTAAGGTGAAAACTCTCTATGAACTCTCCCATGATGACCAAACTTTCGGGTGAACAACAAGAACCATAGTAACAGAGGACAGGAACAAAGGGCAGATAATTTAGGAGACTGCCAGCGTGTCTCAACTAAAGCTTGCTTGCATGAGCGAGTAAAATATTTCGTGATTCATGATTAATTTGCTATTTAGGATTTAGAAAGGCAGTGAACTATGGAAGTACTGGAGCATGCTGAAAAGTGAAGAAAATACATGTTTACATTTCCAGTACAAGATAGAAGCCGAGATCAAGTATTTTCCTCCTCTTCTTAGTCCATTATTGCAAAGACTTAAGCTAGGTATTGATCGCGAAATCCATGCTACTGCACGGATGGGTAGTAATCTAAAGACAATATTACGGCTGAGCTTATGTTCGTATGAAGATTTGACGGTGAAGAGTATGTCTATTAAAGAACTATCGCTCGATGTAGTGACAACCTTACACCAAACGACTTTGCAAGTTCAATTGACTTGAAGATGCGATCAGCGACTCTTCCAATAACAAACGGTGGCAGCTTATATACTTCCAGTATGTCCACGCCATTAGAAGCCGTTTTAACAGGATGATCAACTTCGAGCCAAATAGTTAGAGCTATTGGAGTTGTAAAGTCGACAAAACGAAGGGCCGCCAAGTCAAAAAAAACAAACTTGGAAGAGCTCCATTAAGTCAAAGAATATAGAGGGAGCCCTAGAAGCAGTTCCTACCAGTGGCCTCTTCAGGCGAGTTTTGTGCAAGTCTGTGTCCACTGTTGGAAGTTTTGGTACCAGAGGTTGTCCCTTGTCGGGGAAATATGGTCAAAAAATGTTTCCCAAGTCAGTGAAGGCAGCTTATATGGGCCTAGTGTTTTACCCAGTGAAAGAGCATACGAAAGGGTTCTGTATGCAGTCGACGCTAGCCGTCTCTTTGAGCTAGTTGTTAGCTCAACGGATACGGATTAATACAATGGGTCTAAT